TCAGTGCAATGTATTTTCTTGGCATTCCCTTTACAGCCAAGCATCGCCAGAGAACCTCTCGGTCGACAGAATCGAATGCCGCCTTTAGGTCAAGAAATATAATGATTGTCGGACGCCGGTAGGAATGCCTATGTTCTAGAATCTGTCGAAGGGTGAAGATGTGATCAATACACCCTCTACCTGGCCTAAAACCTGCCTGGTTTTCTCGTGTTTGTGTCTCCCGAGCGCCACTTAGTCTACGCAGTATTATTGAGCCTAGGATTTTAGATACTATATTAGTCAAGCTAATCCCTCTGTGATTATCACAAGACGACTTGTCCCTCTTCTTGTATATCGGGATGATCAGTGACTTACACCAACCCGATGGGACTTCCTCTGATTCCCAGACGCTGCCTAGGACCACCGTTAACGCAGACAGTAAACTGTCTCCTCCGTACTTAAATACCTCTGGAGTCAATAAATCAGGTCCCGCTGCTTTGCCTTGCTTCAGATTAGTGACAGCTTTAGTAACCTCAATTAAGGACGGAGGACCTGTGTCTATATCCCATTCAGGGAGGTGTTGGATGTCCGGCAGGTTAAGTGTGGCTGTGGGCCAATTAAACTGCTCCTCATAGTGTTCTTTCCAGCGCTCCAGACGTCTATCCTGGGAGCTAATTATGGTGCCATTTTTCTCGGAGATTGTTTCGCTTATCATTTGCCTTTTACCACCTGTTTCTCTGATAAGCCTGAATAGTTGTCTGGTGTTGCCTATCGCCGATGCTTTTTCCATCTCTTTCGCCTTTGTCAACCACCACTGTTCACGGTCCTAGCGGAGACTTTTCGTAAGTTTCTTTTTGTGCAGCTTTCGCTCCTCATTGAATTCGGAGCTCGCCGGAATAAGTCTTCTAGCATCTATCAGTTCGGATGAGGCAGTCGAAATCCAATGGTTTTTACACACCTTTGGATTTACCTTATTCACAGCTTTTACAGCTGTATCAATGGCTGACTGAATATTCTTCCAGGCTTCTTCAGGGTGAGCGCAGCTGTCGAACTCAGATATGTGTTTAGCTAGTTCTTCCTCAAATAGGGACTTAGTTCCCTGGTCGAGCTGGGGACGTGATGGGTTTACCGCCAGCTGTTTCCTACGTCCGTTCAGTCGTAAGCACACACGAGCGCGGTTCAACACAGTTCAACACAATCTGTAAGCATGATAATATGCATCAACATAACATAACACTATGTCAGATAGTTGGAGGCAATCAGCAGGAGGTCAATCGCGAACCTGAATAGCCCAGTGGTAACGTCTCTGACTGCAGCACTGGGTGACGCGGGTTCGAATCTCAGAAGGGACATGAGTTCCTTCAAGGATGCAGATACGCCTTGCTGGCTGACAGGTGAGTGCCAACTAACACGAAACCTAGGTCCAAGGCTTCCTGTCGATTGCCTCCAACTATCTAATATCATCAAATCAATGTGCAGCGTGATGGTGAGCTACCTAGAATGGTGGCCACATTGCAAACCTGACTGACTGATAGAATTCAGTCTGCACCAAGGAAAGGACTAGACACGTCACACTAGTTACTAGTGTCCAATGAAAATAACACTGAAATCGGAATATCATAGAAATTGGTAATGATAGCAATACAGAATTGGAGATGGTAGTTAGGAGATTACGGGAAATACGTGCCCAGCTAATGAGGACAGTGGAAAATATAACCAAGTGGAGACGTGATGTTGAAGCGCTATGTTCCACTGGAAACCCAAGACGAAACACTATTGAGAATTATAATTTAAGGTAAAAAAAAAAACAAAAGAAAGCAAAAGAAGAAAAGTACAATCAATAGAACTGCTTACCCTGTTGTGTTGTGCATCGTATTTCTCGAATGAGTTCATTAGGAAGAACTGATTCAAGACAGATATGAATACAAGCAGAATCTAAAGAACAACATATTCCAATACATCTGAGCAATTTGGCGCGTATTTCTTGATTTGTTTCACGTTGATATAAACCGATAAGAGCACGAACTGATCGGTATTCAACTGCACGAAGATAGCAGATAACCAATTGATGATCAGATCTTTCCTAAAATAATTGTGATTAAATCATCAGGTGGAAATGAAAAAGTGGAACAGTATTTACTCGTCAGTATATAGGAATTTATCTTAAAGTTATTTATTATAATCATGGTAAAGAGGGGAATGAAACGTGGCTTGTGAACATTTAATCTTCATTTGTATTGTTGGATCGCTGATGAACTTCTTAGTTATTTCTGCATTATAACCACTTCATCCCAAACAGTAACAATTATACAAAATGGACTACGCAGAGTTTTTATACATATTGCAACAATTTAACTCCTTTGATAAATATGTAAGATACATAAATCTTAAAATACTACTACTAATAATAATATGAATAATAAAACCACTATAAACAGAAACATTATTATAATAATATTATTATTCCCTTAGGTTCCAAATGGAGCATAAAGCTTCAAAGACACATCTCCACTTTGCTCTATTTTCTACTCTCCTCCTCACTACACGATCTCCTCCGTGTCACCCTCGTACCGACGACCCACGCGTCACTTCTCATTGGAATTCCACTCGGACAATACCCTGGCTGGTGCGCGATGTCACCCAACGACCTCCTCGACGTATGACCGATCCGTCTCCATTCCCTCCTGCATATGTATTGAGCAATCGGCTGTTGGCTGGTTTGTTCACAGCCAGAGTTTCTTGCTGCTAATTCTTTCCGGTGGTCTGCCCATTTGATCTTCAGTATGGAGCCAGCGAAGGCAGCTGTTGCTAAAAGTCTGCGACAGCGTGTTGAAAATGCTTTTTGTGATACGCTGGCCGAGTTCCCAACCCGTATAGAAGGACCGACTTGATATTGGTGTTAAAAATCCGAATCTTGTTCCTTATGCTGAGTAAAAGCAGAAAATTTCCAAACTGCCTTCAAGTTGATGAGGGAACACCTTGCCTTTCCGATTCTGGCCGGCTTTGACATGTTCATCCGTTCCGTTCCGCCTGTGGTTGAAACCGTGCTTCCTGGCCAGATAAGTGAAGGAAGTAACCTCTTTCAAATTATTTCCGTTGATGGTGATTGGTGCTGGTTATTGTTGCTGATGCTGTTGGTTGGTTATCTTCATTACCTCTACTTCCCCTATATTCACCTGGAGTCCTGTCTTCTGGTGGGAACATAATGAAGCATAAGTACATAGTATCATAGATAACACATGCAATAATCATCTTCGCTGTACGTTGCAGTTCAGTTACTGATTTAAGTTCTTTTCTGACATTATGCATAAAATTCTATTTTGGTAAAATCACAGTGTTGTTACTGATGACCACGTTTCAAGCACAATTTATTACTACTCATAATCATATCAAGGCACTACTCACATAACTTTCTTTTCTGACATTTGACTCTTCACACAAAACCCATGCTAAATATGGTATAGTAGAATTTTTACACTGACTAGCTGCACGAGTATAAATTCCCATGAAATTTCTTCTGGTTTTACCCCCCTTAAAGATAGACAAGGAAAAGGTTGAGAATATTAAAGCGAGTGTTCAGAGTTAGACAAGATAGCCTTAGCCAACTGCTTGCAGGAATTGAAGTGCCTATTGACAATAATGTCAGTTAGGCATACACACCACTAACCCTGCCTACCTACAGCCTTCAGTGTACTACATAACACGACATAGCCTTTTTTGAGAAATCCAGAGAAGAATAGGGCGGAGCAATAAAGAAGAATGAGCAGAATACATGAATTAATAAATTTTAAGAGAAGAGGTTGAATTATAATGCCAGAAAGTATCAACTTCCTTATTGTGTAATATGTCAAACGAAAAATCTTCTTAGGTATCAACAATCATATGAGACGATCAACAGAGATTTGAAGAGAAACTGATGTCGACATAAAAATTTATTCATCACATAAGAACAATCGAATGCAGAAACTACTGGGACAGAAAATGGTTAGATCGTCAGCATATTTTTTTTAATGAAGTTAGCTTTGGAAGAATGTGGAAAAAGGTTGTTTCGTAATGTGTCTGATGTTTTTAGGAAAACTCTAATGTCAAGCTCATTGAGTACTCTTCTGATATAGTCTGACGTCCATATAAAAGACGAAATCCGTAAAGATTTTCTATCTAATTGTGTCTATAAAATGAAATGCTTGGAATGTGATGCGATATACATCGGATCAACATCGCCGGAGAGAAGTCAAAATCAGAAGAAATGAACACCGTAGAGCATCTGTTCGACCACCTAGAAATCCGGTTGGACTACAAAAACTTGAAAAATCATCAGCCATAGGTCTACACGCTATAGAATCAGGCCACAAAATTGAAATAATCCAGAAAAAGCATTTCAGAAATCACAAAGAACGTCTAATATCATCAGAAGCACTTCATATTAAGTGGAATCCAAATTGTCTGAATAGGAATGATGGACTAAAACAGAATCTGACCTGGTTACAACACCTCCCTCCCCCATGAAATGACAAAATCAACACAAATGTGATAAGAAAGTCCACTATGTAAACACACACTACTTTTATAATGTTACACACTGATCAAATCCAACAATCTACACTTGTTGTTTTGTTATCTTTACCAATTGGTCAACTTGACAACTAAAAATGCCCCCCGACTGATGAACGATGATCAAGTTAGTAAACTTTGTTTTGATACCATAACAGATGTACTATTACCTTTGATATTTGGTTAAGTGATCTTCATTGCTATTTTGACTTTCAATAAGTCCTTTTAACTTGACCTAAGTCTATTTTCTCACCTCTTAAATCTTTGTTATATATATGCTGAGATTTTGTAAATTCCAGTTTAATAATACTTTGATAAAGCTATTAGCAGCATTCAATAGCGAAACGTCAGTAAAAACAACAATATCGTTTTGTTTTTCATTCACTGGGAAATACAAAACCCTTTATTATAATAAATTAGATGCTGTTAAAATAACTTTCTTCAAACAAACAACAAAAATGAGTACTTACCAGTAAGGTAATCAATTCATTCAACCGTTCAAGAATATCATATTGATCATCGTGTAACCGCCAATTACATTCTTGATCGTTACTTTGACGTGATTCAAAGAAACGAAATTTAATGTTAAGTAAACACCAATCTGGACTTTGTGAGTACTCCTCTTCTGTTTTTTCTACATCAGTCGACTGGAAACCGAAATTCAGAGTAAATATTATGATAATAATAATAACAGTAATAATAATAATAATAATTTGCTTTATTCTAATACAGTACCTGCGATACAGGTATGTCTGTCTATCTGTTTTCAACATAGAACTTTGCACAGATGTGCAGCAGTTCATGTTGCCACACTCCCTCCATGTAGCACACAAAACAAGAGAAGAAAGTTAAAGGGAATGCAAAACAGAGACAGTAAACAGAGATACGAGGCAAAAAGAATAGTAATAAGCAAAAGAACAATACAGTTTTATTGGGTATTATATGTAATAAGGAGTGGATGCATCTGCGCTGTCATTGAGCCATATTACCGACTATTTCCAGCTATTGGTGTTAACCGTCCTGAGGGCCCCAACCAGTCAGGAAGTCTATACCTTCCTACGTGGCTGGCTAGCTGGCTTTAACTAACTGTTGTAGATTTCATTGACTGGTGCCATGTTTTCGTTTGACCACCACTAGCTCTTTTCCAACCTGATCCTGTGTCAGCTAACATTGCCCATCGATCAAGGAAGGCGATGGCTCGGTGTGCATGCGTAACATATGTCCTAACCATCTCAGTTGATGTAGCTTCACAGCCTCGTCGATTGATTTCCCCTCCTTACCTAGCACTCAACCGATACCTTACCTCAATATCGCTCACTCTATTATACCAACACTTCACACGGGAGATAGAATAGTGGCACACTACTTCTAAAAACTTATAATACCCTTCGAAATATGACATAATCCTTTTTTCAGTAGCCCAGGAAAGACTATGGATGAGTAATCAAGAACAATAGGTATAAGATGCAAGAGTTAGTAAATTGTGCATATAGAGGTTGAGTGATAACCTACCTGATAGGCTTAACTTCTTAATGTAGAAGGTCTGTAGTACCCCTGTACCAACTATAAACATACGTTTTTAATCTAATTTGCATACTCATATTATATGTTTACACATACCGATTTTCTATGTACTTCGTAAACATTTGTCAATTTACTGTTGAACGTTACCTTGATACTTTTTCGAAATTTGACTACGGCTATAATACACGATTATACTCTTCACAAGTGCCTTCTGATTTTACGTTGTGGGCGTCGAGTAGCTACAACGTCTGCGCACATCGATAAACGTGAAGAAGTACTAGGAAATACGTGTACGCTCATTTAGTCAAATAGAACACGCAATAAATTGGTGAGCCCCGACGATAAATTGCTGACCCCGACGACAAATTGCTGACTCCGACGACGACGACTTTTTGACCTCGACGCGTCATTACACTTACTGGATTATTAAAAACTCTAAATTTCGCGGATCTATATATTTATTAAACAATTCGAACTCACGCGGATCTATATATTTATTAAACAATTCGAACTCATTTTTGTGTTTGCTCATAGCACAACCTGCAGTAATTTGTGGTAAGCACCTGCATTGCATTTTTTCTGTTTACCGTATTCTTATTGCGCACAAATTTTGCTATTTTGCTAATCTTAAACCATTTTTTTTACGAATTGTAACATGTCTTCCAATACCTCTGATAACTTAGAGCTGGGATCTGTTAGTACTATTTCTCTTTCTGTACCAGTTTTTAAGCCCAGAGACCCTCATCTTTGGTTTGCACGACTGGAACATTATATGGCTAGCAATAAGCTCACGTCACAGACAGCTAAATTTGGCATTTTGAGTACAGTACTACCAGACGAAGTCGCCGAGCAGGTACGGCAATACATCGTTCAACCCAGCACGGAAGCACCTTACGACAAGTTGAAGGAAGAGGTACTGCGATGCACTTCGCTTTCGGATAGGCAAGCACTCGATCGCCTGTTAAGCAATGTTGAGTTAGGGGATAAAACCCCATCGCAACTCATGAGGCATATGCAAAGCCTAGTTGCCGGAAGAGAAATCGATAAACGTCTCTTTTACCAAATATGGCTACGAAGACTTCCCGCAAACATCCAGCAGGTTCTTGCTTTCGGAGATGACGACATTGACATAGAGAGGCTCACCGAAATCGCGGATCGCATGTACGAGAGGTCAACACCTCAATCTGTCGCTTCCACCAGCAGAATACCAGACACTCACGATAGAATACAGACTCTAGAACACAAAGTCGACACCTTACTGAGTCAGTTAGCAAAACTGACTACACGCACACAACCAAGCCGTTCTAGAAGCTCGTCTCGTCGACGTCTTTCTCGATCCCCTAGCACGTCACGACATCGCGATAATATTTGCTGGTATCACCGTAGTTATGGAAGCAAAGCACGACGGTGCCGTTCACCTTGCAACTTTCAGACTAAACCAAAAGATATATCGTCATGTGTAAGAAATACTGTTGACAATCTACGATCTAACAGTCGTTTGTTTTATGTAACAGATAAAAATACCGGTACTACATTCTTAGTTGACACAGGAGCAGAGGTGAGTGTTCTCCCTCCGTCTACACAGGAACGTCAACATCCTGACCCAGCAGTTACGCTCCAAGCTGTTAATCAGTCCAGTATTGTTACATATGGAAGTAAACGAATGACTTTAGATTTTGGTTTAAAGAATACCTACACTTGGTCTTTCATCATTGCAGACCTCCCATCCCCAATCCTCGGTATTGATTTTCTGCAGCAACACAAACTGTTAGTTGATCCGATAAGCCCCAAGCTAATAGATTCGCTCAATAAAACGTACATTGCTGGTACGATTAGCCGTGCATCATCACTGAACTTGATGGTCACACGCACACCAGCATCTCCATATACTAATTTGGTAAATCAGTTTCCTGACCTTTTACAACCTTCTTTTCGAGGAACAGAACCTAAGCATCATGTGGTTCATCATATTAAAACCACTGGACCGCCAGTTTTTGCACGTCCACGACGCCTTGACCCATATCGACTTAAAATTGCCAAAACAGAGTTCGATAAAATGCTAGAGCTTGGTATTATTCGACCGTCCAACAGCTCTTGGTCTTCACCGCTTCACATGGTACCCAAAAAGTCTTCTGGTGAAATACGGCCGTGTGGTGATTATCGAGCTTTAAACAAGCAAACGGTACCTGATAGATACCCAATACCACACATCCACGATTTTGCTAGCAACTTACCAGATGTTAAAGTTTTCTCTAAAATCGATCTCGTCCGAGCGTATCATCATATCCCCATCCACCCGGATGACGTTCCGAAAACCGCCATTACCACACCATTTGGCTTATACGAATTCGTACGCGTGCCCTTTGGACTAATGAACGCCGCTCAGACATTCCAACGCCTAATCGACCAAGTACTCCGTGGTCTCCCTTTCGTCTACGCATACATCGATGACTTACTAATTGCAAGTGCAGACGAAGCCGAGCATTTGAAACATGTGAAGACAGTGTTTGAAAGGCTGAACCAATACGGAATGACTATCAACTTAGACAAATGCGAATTTGGTAAGACCTCCCTGAAATTTCTCGGTCATTTAATCGATAGCCAAGGAATCAGACCAGTCCCTGATGACGTACAAGCTATCAAAGATTATCCATTACCAGATTCTTTTAAGAAATTACGACGATTTTTGGGTCTCGTTAATTTTTACCGGCGTTTTATACCGAACTGTGCCAAAGCTTTACAACCATTAACCGATTGCTTACGTGGACATAGTCGTTCATTCCATTTGCCTGCAGAAGCTGTTAAAGCATTCGAAAATGTCAAACAATTGTTAAATGACAAGACACTTCTAGTCAGACGCCAAAATGACGCCCCCCTGTCTCTCATGACAGACGCTTCAGACGTTGCCATCGGGGCGGTTTTACAACAGCAAGTACACGGCGAATGGCAACCCCTAGCATTCTTTTCGAAACGACTGAATCCTACTCAATGTCGCTATAGCACTTTTGGTAGAGAGTTATTGGCTGTTTATTTAGCAATCAAACACTTTCGACATATGCTGGAAGGTACAGCTTTTACTGTCTTTACAGACCACAAAGCTCTAACGAAAGCCTTATCAGCAAAACAGGATAACTACTCTCCGCGTGAACTACGACATCTCGAGTTTATATCTCAGTTCACTTCTGATCTGCGACATGTGAAGGGTAAACACAATGAAGTGGCAGACGCTTTATCACGTGTGCACATTGACAACATTGTATGCCCAGACATCGACTACGAACGTCTCTCAAACCTACAACGAGATGATGCCGAACTAAAAAAGATTATGTCTTCTAAAACAACATCTTTAAAGCTAGACGCAATTCCTTTTGGCACGACAAAAATAATCTGCGACACCTCTACGGGTAAATATCGACCCTTCGTTCCAGCAGCTATGAGACATACAGTATTCGAGAAGTTACATAACTTGTCTCATCCAGGTGTCAGTGCTACTATCAAACTAATAAAAGAAAGATTTATATGGCCGAACATTAATAGCGATGTTAAGAAGTGGACACGAAATTGCTTGTCTTGTCAAAGAGTCAAAATCAACCGTCACACTAATGCACCACTTGGTCGCTTTCCTAACCCTGACTCTAGATTTGAACATATACATGTAGACATAGTTGGTCCACTACCTCCTTCCAATGGTTTCAACTATATTCTAACTTGCATCGATAGATTCACTCGTTGGCCTGTAGCAGTTCCAATAGCCGACGTCTCCGCTGAAACAGTAGCTAAAGCTTTGGTCGAAAACTGGATAGCTAATTTTGGTGTCCCATCCATTATCACTACGGACAGAGGTGCTCAGTTTGAAAGCCGACTTTTTCAACAGCTAACTGAATTACTGGGCATCAAACGAATACGAACAACTGCCTACCATCCTAGTTCCAACGGCATGGTTGAACGCCTTCATCGACAACTCAAAGCTGCGCTCGCTGCTTCTTTGACTCAAAACGACTGGTCAACCAAACTCCCACTGGTACTGCTTGGTATACGATCTGCTCTAAAGAAAGATATTGGCTGCTGTGTTTCCGAACTAGTCTATGGAACAACATTACGACTACCAGGAGAATTTTTCACCCCAGGTAACCAAGTTCCACAAGATATGACTGGTTATGTGCACCAGCTAAAACAACACATGAACGAGCTCAAGATATCACTTCCACGCCAGCAGGAACGAACGTCATACATCCCACCACAACTGACAGATTGCACTCACGTCTTCGTCAGGAGAGAGGGTGTACAACGACCACTTCAACCCGCTTATGATGGCCCATTCAAAGTTCTAAATAGAAACGATAAAGTTATCACGATAGAACGACTGAATAAAGCAGAAGCCATCAGTGTCGACAGAGTCAAACCAGCGTTCATCGACGATTTCGAAGACAACGATGAAGATCAGCTGAACGACGTGCCAACATCTACATCCACGCAAGCTTCAACGTCGCCAGAGAAACCTATGAAAACTACACGCTCTGGTAGGAGAGTTCATTGGCCTAAACGTTATGTGCAAATCATCAATATATAACTTATTACGAATTTTCATTTTTATTATCTTTATTCGTAATTGTCATTTGACTACACATTTAACTGATTAATATCTTCATACGTCAATCACGTCACTACTATGTTAACATTGATATTCCCTGTATTATTACATCTAATCATATAGCGCTTAATATTCACGTATCGTTTCCGTATACAGACTACAGATCCCCAGCTGATTGTATCATTCCTTATATATTCTACCACGATCATCAATCCTATTTTTTCTTTTATTATCGCATTTATTATCGGCCTTATTGACCGCATTAAATTGCTCATTTTTTTCAGCTTAGTAAATCGCTTTCTATGTACTATCGCTGCTACGTATTACGCTGACGCATTTTATTGTCGAACACTTAAATGTATTTTTTTTATATTTCAGTGTTCTGGTGGGGGAATTATGTAGTACCCCTGTACCAACTATAAACATACGTTTTTAATCTAATTTGCATACTCATATTATATGTTTACACATACCGATTTTCTATGTACTTCGTAAACATTTGTCAATTTACTGTTGAACGTTACCTTGATACTTTTTCGAAATTTGACTACGGCTATAATACACGATTATACTCTTCACAAGTGCCTTCTGATTTTACGTTGTGGGCGTCGAGTAGCTACAACGTCTGCGCACATCGATAAACGTGAAGAAGTACTAGGAAATACGTGTACGCTCATTTAGTCAAATAGAACACGCAATAGGTCAAACGGCATATTTTCTTATAAATCAACAAAGTATGGGATGGCCACGAAAGATAAGAGGATAGAACTATTCCAACGTATATTCTGTGTTTGACTTAGTTTCTATTTCAATGCCCTTTATGCTACAAGCATCTTGTGAACAAACAAGTTCGTGTAGAGCACGTTTATGCATACCTGAGAGTGAAGTTAACTGTTTAACATTTAGAGGGATTTAAAGTAAGATTATTTAGCTTGGACCACTGGCTTATATCCAATCAAAGGAACAGTCAGATCACAACGTATCAGGCAACGAGACAGTCAGATCATCAGCGTATTTAACGATGTTGATTTCTTCAAACAGAAGCAAGTCATGTAAGAAAGTAAAAAGAAGGGTAGAGAGAGAGAGACAGAAGTATTTTTTACGAATAAGTGATGCATTATTATTATTATTGGTACATTATGGGCACCAAGAGATTCACCACACAAAATCGCATATTCTCTGAGAGGGCTAGTCTACTGCCTTAACACCTGGACTGAAGCGGGTAGTTGTCTCAAGGGGTTATTCCCACTCGAGTCTGACCCACGGGGAACTGGAGCAGAGTTAGAAGCTATATTCTCATGATCTCCAGAAACCGAACCAGGTTTGTACGACACACAATCCGTCCGGATTCTGGAGCCCATGTATGCTATAGCTTTGGAGTCAGTGTTTTCCAACACCCCCTCCACCTTGGTAGACCTACCTGTATTCCTACCAGTTCAATTTTAAGAGTCAAACGTTCGCATACACCCCTTCACTTTTGTGAAGAACATCCCCCCCTGAGTGGAGGCAATGGGTAGAACTTGCTTGACAGAGGCTATGCACGCGTTGAGAAGACCAAAGTCTACCTACCATCAGCCATACCTGGTTGTTTATAGGGGCAAAATGATACATTTCAATAGCAACCATCCAACGTCAACATGCATGTCGTCACAGAGATTGGATAAGACCGATGATAGGTACTACAGTAGTGTGTTGTAGATAATGAATGAGGGGCATTTTAATTGTGTGTGTGTGTGGGGGGGGCTAATGTCAAGTGACGATATTTAAGAGATAACAATCATACTGAGATGTACAAATAAGCAACTGAATACATATACTGAAGGTTACCAGCCCTGATTAGGTAATCTGGTGGATAATGCTACATAGTGAATTGGTTATCAATTATTTCAGTACAGGAAACAAGAAGCTAAAATAAAGTAGGATGTTCCATATTAGTTTGTTTACAGTAGTATTTACTGGATGACAAGGTTTCGAAAGAAGTAGAATGTGAACAAACTCAACTATAACTGATCTCCAACAAACTGACTGGCTGATTTCAACAGAGAACTCTGCAAAGAAGTGAAGCAGTTCGAGTTTACACACTCCATGCTGCAGACAAAAGTAGAAAAGCGGTGGAAAAGGAGGTTCAAAAGAACGACAATAAACAGAAACGTGAGGGAGAAAGAATAGTAACGTGGAAAAAAACCGTAGGGTTCAATGGATATAGCATAGCACAAAGATTGAATGCATCATCTGCGCCATCATTGACAACGATTTCGAAGTGCATCAGTAGTTGTTCCCAGTCATTGGTTCTTAGAGTCCTGAGGACTCCGCACCAACCAGCTACACAGCCTACACCTCCATACATAGTTGGCTCAAACTAACTGTTAAAAACTTCATGAACTGATTCCGTATTTTGGTTTCTGTCTGTTTTCGACATAGAACTTTGCACCGATGTGCAGCAGTTCAAGTCGCCACACTCCCTCCATGTAGCACACAAAGCAAGTGAAGGAAGTAGGAGAAATGCATATTAGAGACAGTAAACAGAGGTGTGAGACAAAAGTATAGTAATAATGAAGAACAAAAGTTTCATTGGAGATCATGAGTCACAAGGAGTGGATGCATCTGCGCCATTGAGAACGATTTTGAGCCATGTCACCAATTGTTTCCAGCCACCCAAAACCAGTCAAGGAGTCTACATCTTCCTACGTGGCCTAGACTTACTGTTGTAGATTTCATTGACTGGTGCCATGTTTTTGTTTGACCACCGCTAGCTCTTTTCCAACCTGATCCTGTGTCAGCTAACATTGCCCATCGATCAAGGAAGGCGATGGCTCGGTGTGCATGCGTAACATATGTCCTAACCATCTCAGTCGATGTATCTTCACAACCTCGTCGATTGGTTTCCCCTTCTTAAGTAGCACTTGACGGATGCTCAACCTCAATATTACTCACCACCACTTAACACGGTGGTTAGAACGCAGGCACCTATGATCAGAGACAGCTAGCCAACCAAGCTTTTCATGTCTCCCACTTTCAATGGACAGGTCTCACAGCCAGTCATAAAGGAGAACGGAGCGAACCGCTGAGTAGTACACACGCCCTTTGGTCGATAGCCAGCCGGATATCACTTCTATTCCTGAGATGGCGTAAACTGGCAAATGCCACACGAACCTTCTGTATGCGTGCCCGAGATCGCAGTCAAAATAAAAGAGGGAGACTAAAGGAGCATGTTTTTTTATTCTACCGCCACATGTGACATCACTGAAAAGACGTCAAAGGTTTCACTCACGATGAATACTTTCATACACGCGTTGCTAACGCACCAAAGTTTCATAAATCAAGTAACCATTCCAAATTCCCACATAAGTACATGTTCATCTGCGGTTTAATGACAGACTGCCCGCCAGCCATGCGTAAGGTTCAGGTTCAACTCCTAGCCCACGCAATCCTCAACCTTACCCCGGAAGGAAAGAAGACTGGATGTGAGGCTAACAACCCTACTCTTAAAAAACCAACACCAAGGCAACTGAAACTTTAAAGTTTGAAACCCGATGTTCAACTCAGAACGCAAAGAATAAAGAAAGCGTAAACACACACAGGAGATGAGCAAATATTAGTGACCATATTACCTTCCATATTAGTTTGTTTATTAGATGTATCACACAGTGAAACAGTATTATTTACTGGATGACAATGTTTCGAACAAAATTTATTGTTCATAATCATATCAATTGTAATCACACGACATCGAAACTTGAGTTTTATAGTTTTCTTTGTCTCCTATTTGTCGTCGTTGGGGTAGTAGAATTTTCCAGATATCCGGGTGGACAGGTGTTGAATCATCCCTATTACACGTATTCTCAGCCAGTTGATTCGATAAAGAAAGCTTCTGTTATCAATCTCCCCTTCTACCCTACTGTGACATTAGATTTTAAAACTGTCATCCTATTGTATGGTTGTGTGTAACTGCATGTAGTAGGTGCTATAGCTGAACTATTCTCTACATTTCCTATCTTATTCGGGCCAGCCAATCAAGATTTACCTAGGATTTTATGCTCGGCTAGTCTATCTGCCTCTGTTCTACTAATCTGACCTGACAATCACTGCATGTAGGGTATTAGATAAACTAAATTGTTTTGTTTTAAAGACTCCACAGGATCCTTTAGCCAACAGAGCTTGTTTCTGAATGAGTTTGTGAGGGGTTTGAATGCCGGCCACTTTTGTTCCTGCCTTGTTAAGAATTCTGCGTAGTGCTTCCGAGGTTCCTTCCTTGTATGGAATTATTACTGATGATTTAGATTCCTTATTGTTGGTGTTGCCTCGCGCATATTTGACATGCATGTCGTCATTATTATTCTTATTATTATTACTATTATTATTGTTATCGTTATTATCACTATCGCTTTGTTCGAAACGTCATCCAGTAAATAATACTGCTTCACTGTGTGATATGTCTAATAAACAAACTAATATGGAATCACTTAATACCACAGTGCCCAAGTTTTACACATATATTAACCATATTACCTTCTTATCGGCTTGGAGATTTTCTTTCAAACCTGGTATTACACAGGATAGCATACCCATCAATGCTGAATACACAAATCCACAATCTGAATAAGAACAATTTGTTGCTAGTCTTATTGTGTCCAGTAGGCGGTATTCGAAATTCTTTGGTAAAATAATATCTCCTTCAGACTTTGCTACTATTAAGGGAAAAACAAAACCAGAAAAAAGTAAAATAATCTTTAACATTATTTGTTCTTATAGCAATAAATATGTCGCTCTATCGGATATACAATATAAAAGTATGCAATGATAATGAATCATCAATACAATAAGGATCGTTGTATCTAGGAGCCCATAAAGAGTGAATGCATTCGCGTCAGAGAAAACGATTTTGTGCCATGTAACAAATAGTCTCCAACCTTTGTTTCTTGGCGTCTCTAGAACCCCAGCCAGGCAGACAACACCTTCCTGTGTTGCTCAATCCAACAGTCACACAAGCAGATGTACACTACTTGGCTACCGCGAATCTCTTGAAGGGGTAAATATAATCAATTCATCTGCCAGGTGTTTACTTGCTCATTTCTCCAATGCACCATTTGGTCTACGTATGAGATTATCTAACCTAGAATCTTAGATACTATGACAGTCAAGAGAACCGCCATATGATTACCACAGGAAGAATTACCTCCATTCTTATAAACTTGGATGATCAAGGATTTACACCAGTCCAATGTGACTATCTCAGCTCCCCACACATCACTTAATATCTTACTTAACCCAGTCAGCAGTTCGTCGGCACTACCACTAAACACCTCTGCAGTCATGCCACGAGGTGCCACCAATTTGCTTAGTCTCAGAATAGAGGTACCTTCTACAAACTCATTACAGTTGGAGGACCAAAGTCCCATTCAGGTCATTGCTAGGTGTTGGGCTGTAAGCCCGTTACACTACTCCTCAAAGTTACCTCCAATGTTGGTCTCTTTTCCTGAGAAATAATCAGAGAATCCGCTAATCGGAGAATGTATGGCTTATTAGGTGTCTTTTACAAGCAGATTCCCTAGGGCACCTAAATAGTTGTCTGGTGTCACCTACCACCGATGGTCTTTCCATCTCTTTGACGTTGGTAACTAGTCACTATTCCGGGTTGTCGCAAAGAACTTTATTCAGCTTCCATTTGGATAAATCTTGCTCTTCGTCGTTCGGAACTTCAGACGACTCTGAAACAGCCAATCAGATTCTTCTAGGTGAGAAGTACTACATTTACAAAGAAGTGTATCTACGATATATATGTAATAAAAAGGGTATATATCTCTAATATGCCGCAAAAACTGGCCCCAAATTCTCATAGAAGTGGTTATAGACATATCACCTTATAAAGACTTCCTCATATTAAGTGGTTGCATACGAATGTGTAACCGTCAGTAACCCGTCAATACTTTTTCAGAGTCATTATCCCTCCACATACTTGTTTTATTCCTCCCTACCAACCCATTTTCCACAGAGAAGTCAAAAACCAAACCTAGGAGATATTTTCAACGAGGATTATGACTAACAATCATCTGTAATGCTGAGCTGTCTGATTGGTCAAATCAATGTCATTTGACTTTGGTGTCTATTGTTTACTCTTGCTGGAGATAGTCTTCTTGTTTCAAGAAATCCGACCCTCATGCCCAATAGTTGTATTGCATGGTTTCTTAATATGCTGCTCATTTAGCTTTACAGCACTCGCACTACTCACTATTCTACATTTTTGTGGTGAATTCCGGTTTTAAAGGAAATCCTTATGAGCTCTGAAACTGAAGTTCGCCTGAAAACGTCAAAATGTCATCAGTTTATGTTGGAAGATATTTAAAAAAACTCACTTGCCGCTTGAGTTATACGTTTTTTAGGATCAGTTATCCTTAGCTCAGAAAGGTTTCCAGGTGGTTTCACATCACCAGGTGTATCCATGTCTTTTTCTCCTCTTATCTGCAACAAACGTCTGGGGATTATGAAATCACAACTAGAAACAATAGTACTCAAGCAAATCCTCCTTCCCCCCAACATTTTCTAGAATTCTATCAGTCAAGTTAGCTAATGCATTTTTAGCAAACTCAACTTTGATGTCTTGATCCCCAGTCTGACATATCAATGTTACATGCAAATATAAAGTACCTCGTATTTTTCGACAAAATCTGATGGGACGCAACCTAAAGTCCCATCTGTCTTACACACCATACGCCAGTCTTGATTTACTTCACGAATATCTAAGAAAATTTCATTCTTAGAGAACTTTAAAGTTCCTGGGAAAGAACCAGGGTAAGGGTATACCGCTCGCAACATTCTGAAAGTTGTGTAGGTCGCACAACATTAAACATTAAAACAACCATGTGTCATAAGTAGACTTCAGACTTTTGAAGGATAGTTTCAAGTCACCTCATATAATTCTATGTATTTTATAGGGCCAGTCTTGTTTGGAATGGAATAAAAAATCTATTTTGTTGGTATTCTAAGAAAATTATTTTTGTTCGAAATTTCATGGATGTGATAAGCTTGTGAACTTTCTTCCAAAGTCAGATAAAATATATTAGTGTCAGTTGCACTGGCTCTAGTGAAATACCAAAGGAATGGTACTCACGCAAATATGACCCACCCTGAAAACAACTGTTGTGGTTAAAAATTTCCTAAAAGCATTAGTCAACTTCATTCGACATTGAGTGCCTACCTACACTGAATAAATCGAATAGCCAAGTCGAAGCTACGTTGTCGGGAATCCGCGTTGCTTAACAATCTGTCGTGTTACATCTGGTCGTTCGTACATGAACCCTAGCCACTGAGGTAATCATCACTTTACCTTTTTGATCCCTAAATATATCTCGTAATCTGGATAATCGTTTGGTTGTTTCTATTAGCCTCCGTTGTCAGTACTTTGGAAGTTGGAGGATAAACACTTTTATCCGAATACTGCGTATCGTTCGCAACCGTCTATATCCACCATCTCATATATCACCCTATTACGCGGCAAATTCCATATTTATTTTAATATTCCGGATAAGAGCATTGTGAATGTTGAGGAGGCTAACGAGTGTTTTCCTAAAGATGCGGAAATCTGACACACATTGAAACGCATTACGTCCTTGAGGTAGGATGACTGGGAGCAAACGGGATGGTTTAACGCCTTATATTGGATATTCGATGAAAAAATTGGGATATCATTTTGAATCACACCTATGTAGAGAAGTCAGCCTCTCCTAATCCGACTTTCTCAGTTGTAACTGGTAGCAGGATCCTCCATTGTTCTCAGAAAATTAGGTCAGCTTAGTAGCACACTGGACAATAACAGTAACTGCCCTCTAGCTACTGATATCGGCCATTGCATGGGAGGATTCTAGTTGGTTCAATAAACTTTTCAAGATTGAGCTTCATGGACTGTGTTTCGGATGAATTGTATTTTCAAACGCATCTCAAAAAAGCTAATCGATCTACGTAGTCATCATTGGAGGAAAAGTGGCCGAGGTATAACTCCTAGCATTGTAGAACATTCATAAAGAAAAGTAATAATGGTATAGATTTTTTGCTTCTGCTAAATCATGGGATTTTTCTGAGATAACCCTGCAAGTCTCGGTTCAACTTTTATTCGTATTCTTCCCTGTACTGCCTCCAGATTCTACAGTGTTTTGACCAAAAGTACTGTAGCTCAGAGGAGACAAATGCGGCTGAATTTGTAGCGGCAACAGTAAAATTTAACTAACTCTTGAAGTAAACGAGCAAAAACTAGCCAAGCTCAACTCAGTCGTAGGTTTCGGTGTCATATAAAATAAATAAATAAATTTATTCTCATAGTACAGTACATGAGGGACGCCAGTTTACAGGCATCATCAAACTGTTACAGAAATAGAGTCATGTAATTCAATCACAATTTACAGGCAGTAGCAAGATATGCCTTACATGTTCGCTGGAGATTATACATACACTTGATAAATGTTAATCCCATTTGTATAAAACAGCCTTTTCACTTATATACAATCATTTCTGTGCACAGTTGGAAAAATCTGCTAGATTGTCAGTGAGTGCAACACATCAGGAAAAACAGAAGTATTGTCTTCGCATTAACAAAAAAACCAGGTCTTTGGTGGATGAATTATAAGTGCCTGGGAAAAAAATAAAGCTTGAAGTCAATTTTCATACATAACTTTGTTGTATGCAGAATCCTTGAATTATAGTTCATTGGTGTGTTATTTTGAAATCAGCGATATGTTTATCTCATTTGATCTGCAATGTCATTGTTAGGAGTAAATACATAGGCTTCAGACTCATTAATTAATGGATTTCTACTGCTTGTGGGTATTTTCTTAGCGTGAAGAAAGCTTATGAATTTCAGCTGTTCCGACAGGAGTTGAGAATATTAACTGCTCAGCAACATTATGGATATAAGTTCATTACATTGCCTAAGGAAAGATGAGTTGCAGTTGGTGAGGGATATATGGTGCCCAGCGAGCGTACATCTGTCCATGTGATGTTGTGGTCGGTTATACCTTCTTCATGTTGTCAGTTTATGTCCATTTTTATTCCACTTATTGTGTTGGGTAGTAGTTTTACAAACGAAATTTATTGTCTGTTTGAGGGTATGTATCTTAACTGTTAATGTTTTATCTTAAATTATAAATATAGGCAAAAAACAACAGGTGTAGTATTTAAGCTTATACATTAAATGGACCTATAATTTCGGAGGCTCTCAGATAGGAACTAGAACTGCTATCGTTTGCAAACTCTTGTAGTTTGTCATTAAGCACCTTTTTGAAGGAGGCCAATGTACTTGCTTGACGCATTTCCATTGGTAGTTTATTCCATATCTGTGCATACCTAATCAAGTAAAACTTTTGCCTGGTGGCTGTTTTACATTGTTCAATAGCTACTGTACCCTTAGTGTGTCTTAGTTTGTAGCCACTGTCATCTGAAAGTCGAGCGCCATTAGTAGAGGTAAAAACTAAGTGGTTTAGGAGCTTATAGTAAAGTGTTAAGTTTAGTCTCAGGCGTCTTAGCCATAGTGCTTCTAGTCCTAGGATATCACATCTAGTGGAGTAGTTCGCACCATTTTCGGTTCCGAGTAATTTTAACGAGAAGTACATCTGCACTCCCTCGACTTTCAATTTGTCCTCTATGCGTATACTACTATACATGAATGAACAGTAATCAAATAAAGGACGCACACAAACCTTGTACAACAGAATTCTAGACTCATTTCTGTAGAAGTTCCTGAGTAGAAAGCCGATAAGTCTGCGTGACTTTGACACTTGTTTGGAGATATGTTCAGAAAATGATAAGTTATGTGAATATTTCAGCCTTAGGTCCAGTACAGATTCCAGTCGTAGTAGTGCATGGCCTTGAATTGTCAGGTTAAGCTCTAAATTATTGCAACCTATGCAGAGCCAGCCACACTTTTCGACACTAAACTGGGGTTGCCAGGTGTCACACCATCTATCCATTTTTTCTAATTCTTGCTGTATGGCGTTTACTGTTATTCCAAGATCTGTGTTCTTGCATTTATAGGTCACTTTTAAGTCATCTGCATATATTATTGGTTTACCTACACTAAAGCATTCACATATACTGTTTGTGTATATATATACTCTAGTAGTTTAGCGTTCTCCGAACAAATTGATTGTGCTAGACGCAAAACACGAAGACTCCTAGGATGCATAACTCGCGAATTCTTTTGTTGTGAAACTAGGGTTTTATTATACAAAGTATGTGTCCGACTTATTTTGGAGTACTGCCCGTTTATTCTTAGTGGACTGCGACAGAATGACAAGCTCAAATTGGAGGGAATGCAACGGCAGTTAACTTCAGGAACTCTTGGTTTGGAATGTGGTCTCGACTACACTGAGCGATGCGGCAGACTGAAATAATAAATAAATAAATAAATTTATTCTCATGGTACAGTACATGAGGGACGCCAGTTTACAGGCATCATCAAATTGTTACAGAAATAGAACCATATAATTCAATCACAATTTACAGGCAGTAGGAGTATATCCTTTATATGTTCGCTGGAGATTATACATACACTTGATAAATGTTAAATGAAAATAGAGCCACTCTGGAAAAGACGTCTTTAGCTAAACCTTATTTTCTAATACAAGTTAAATAATCTTCTTTTGCACTCCTCCAGGCCAATAACCAAACCTACCGCTGTCATCATTTACAATCTTAGAAATCATGACAACCTCGTTGCAGTAGAGCATTGTCAGACTTACATGCGGTACAGCTTCTTAAATAAGTTTTAGGTCATCTGGAGTAGACTAACAGCTAATGTGCGTGATGCGAACACGCTACCAGGGTTCATCCCCTCGGTCACCAAACTGCTCAGAGATGACAAAGCTCTCCTGAGTCTGACTCCTAAACTTTCCTTTTCACCTGTGGTAGCCGGGAAACATCAAATTATACGTTCACCGTAAAATAGTAAAAGTAATGGATTCATGGAAAATCATGGTTGTTACGTGAGATTAAACAAGGACACTACCTGGTACCGCGTGAAGTATGGACGACACTTCTTCCCTCTCCAGCTCTTTGCTTTCTACATCTGCCGACCGACTCTGCCTGGTACCTGATTGGTACACCCACATTAGAATCTTTTGCTTCAATCTACTTTTCTCTCTGCAAGTGCCCTCTGGCCGTTGGCATCTCTTACGTTTAGTGAGCATCTGTATACCCAAGAAAAGGACAATTTCATCCCTACCACTCTGCACGTCTACATTTGAGTATTTTGGGACAACCTTCCAGATAACTGCATTCTTGTGTGTATATTAATTTATGTGGACTGAATACCGTTCTACATACATACATGTTTGTATTTTTGTCCTATTCATTATGCGTATAAAGGAACTTAGCCGTTTAGTGAACTACAAGCCCAGTGATCTCAGCAGGTCTCTTTCATTGTTTTTATAACTATTGTTATCATTCAGTTTGGAATTCGTGTCATTTCCAATGAGGGCTAATTATTTATCATAGTGGCCTAACTACCGTAATCCATTATAACCTTTATTTTCAATATTTCATGCCTCGTTTCCCCTGTCTATCGCAACATGACCTGAAAACTCTCACAGCTGTCGTTTATCATGACTGATTCCATGTAGTCTTTTTACTTATATCTATCACATAAATTGTTTTAACTTATGCAAATTTTGCTTACTGTCATTTTTCCACTACCTTCTCTTGCATATATATCTTGTGTTAGTGAAAAATTGTAAACATGCTTACACCATGTATACGTTATTATCAAATTGATGATGTCCGTAAACTGCAGTCCCTCATGTGCATAAAGCGCATATTGTTATAAGATG